AAAAAAAAAAAAAAAACAAAAGAAATTTCGCGAATTGACCACGCGTTCTCGTTAACCCTCGAATCTTCTTCTCTCATCATTCGATTTACCGCCTCGTTCAGACTCGCTTTCCATCGTTCCGTTAGTTGGATGTTAACAAAGCGAAGGAAATGCCTGACACACAAGTGGCAACGGGTTATTTTCGATACGTGCCACGAATATTTTAGCTAATTAAGGTCTACGTGTCGAGGGTTAAAGCTGCCTCTTCGAATTCAAGTCGCTCAACGGAGTAGTTCATAGCTGGACGCACGAGAATTATTGGTGTATTTAGTAATTTTTTTTTTTTTGGGAGGGGGGGATGATCGTGCAATGAATCGAAGAATTTTTTGAATCTCTCTCTCAAATTCAATTTAATCAGAGTTGAGATGTTTATGTATCTGTACGAAATTTAATTGATATTTCCAAAGTATAATTCGCAAGGTAAATGTATCTATATAAATTCGTTTCTCTACGAAGTATTCACAAAAATGTACGAATTCGTAGTTCACCTATAATTTTCACTTATCACACGTGAATTACCCCCTTGAGACAATCAATTAGAAGATTAATCGTAACGAACGATTGATAAACGAAGTTAGCTGAAAACAATGAAAGTCGAAACTGGGAGGCAGACGATATAACGCGTCATACAAACCTCTTCGATGTCCATCGTGTGATTGCTTTTCCCGTACGTGGTCTGATCGCCGTCGCTCATGTTCGAGATGTCGCCAAAGCTGCGACACTGTTAGTGACAAAATAACAACTGACAAAGTGTAATTCGACAGCCATTTGAAGGCGTACTTTTCTCGTTCATTCACTCCGTTGTGAGAAGGAAAAAGAAAAAAAGAAAAACGAAAGACTCGAATAAATCGAATAAATCCCGCGAACGACGCTGATTATACTGAGAAAGAAAAAAAATTTTTTTTCACGTTGCCAAAGATTTAACATCGGTTTGTACAATGTATGAGTTGGTTCTGATTTCGTATTGTATATTCAAGATTTAATTAAATGAAAATAATCATTCTCCCGAATGATTCAAATCTGCTTTACTTGAGACGTACATTCGATTCGTTATCAATTACCTTAAAATGTTTTCTGTTATATTTGTGGCACATATAATCTAATCTAATATAACATAATATGATATGATATGTAATATAATCTAGACGTACTAAAAATATATTCTAAGTTGATCTGGAGACTTTGAAGTAGACAATTCTTAACAATTAATGGGACTCTTGAGAAAAATTGTAAATCTTTTAAAGCATTTCAATAGAAACAATAAAAAAATCAAAAATTAAAAAGTGTAAGAAAAAAGAAAGTGAAAACAGAAATTTCGCACATAAACACTGCAAACAAGAGTAAAAAAAACGCGGAGTTGAGAGTAATGGATAAAAATTATACGGTTTTTCTTTTTATACTGTCTTTATGAACATTCAGGGGCATAAGCATTTGCTCAATCTAGAAAAATTAACATATTCGTATATTCGTAATCAGAACCCTTCCTCCATCTTCTCTCTAATTATTTAAAATCGACTCGTAAATTTTTGGCAACAGATCGACTCGTTTCCCGGTGTCGATCAATCGCGCGAAACGAATTGAAAGTTCGTCAAAGAGAAACTCGAAAGGCTCCGAAAAGTGGAGTGGCTATAACGATCGTTTTTTACTTACCAACTGTTTGATCGACACGCCAGTCGCGATCTTTTCCTTCGTGCATCGGTCTTGCTCGTTTCGAGTCGCCTCCGATACATAATTCTGTGTCTGCATGCACAAAATACACAATTGCACAGGGTACAAAGCTAATCACATGCGACTGGAATACGGTGATTCATAGTCTACTTGGGCCTGTATCAATCCGATACTTCTCTCTACCATCGTCGTGTATGCATTGAAACCTCGATACATCACGATACTCGTGGGTGATCGCATCGATACACATCGCTATACATGCAGCATAATTTACGAGTAACGATTTCAAACGGGTATTGATTAGCGATTTCTCTACCTCTGCTATGTTTCTATGTTCAGAGAGACCACCTGAAGCGTTCTCTCGATACTTTTCAA